TTAAAGTAAAAAAGTACTAAAATAATTTATATACTTAATATGCCCTCATAAAAAGGATATAAGTATATTAAAAGAATTAAAAAAAAAAAGTAAAACCATGACAAACATCCTAAAAGAACAACAACAAGCAAATAAAGAACTAATCAACGAAATAGAATTGTTGAAAAAGCAACTAGCTGATAAAGATCAAGAATTCAAGTTAAGAACTTTAAATGCAGTTAATAATGTTATGGAAAGTGAATGATCAGAAATGTCAGGCACTTTAATGACCTTGAAACAACATTTTTGGTCTTGAGATCAGTGGGTAAAGGTTCAAGAAGAAAATGGAGTTGAGAAAGTTAATTTTAGTAATGAATTCACCCTTGAAAACATTGTTAAAGGTTTTACTGAATGAACCTGAAATAGTTCAGAGTCTTTTTGGTTTTATTTATGATAAAAATAAAGAATTAGAAGAAAAGAATGCTATTTTAGAACCAAAGGTGGTAGAATTAGAAGTCAAGCAAAAAGAGTCGGAAGCAGAGATAGAAGCATTAGAAGACAGAATAAAAATAGAACAGGGACAAGTTAAGGAAATTTTGGCAGTTGGTGAAAAATGAAGTAAAAATCAAGCAGAAGATATAAAAGAAAAATACAAGAAACTCAAAAGTGCCAGTGAAAAGATTGCTTATTTAGAAACCCAAATTGAAAAGTTAGAGGAAGAATCAAATCAAAAGAACAAAAAAATAGAAAAACTAAGTAAGCAATTAACTGATAGTGAATCACAAAATGAAAATTTAAAGAGTTTACTCTACTTAAACAATAAATCTTTACCTGTTTTACCTATAGAAGAAGAAAAAAAGTTGACTTCAACTAAACAGAGCATGTTTAAGCAATTAAAAACAAAAGCAAAAGTTAAGATTCAGCAATTACAAAGACTAATCAAAAAAGAAAAATTTCACAACCAAGAAATGATTGCCCAAGTAGAAATTAAGTCTAAATAATGATTAAATTGCAATGAGAGAACTGGAATTCACAGTTTTAGAATTAGAAAAAGAAAGTAAAAAAACTTGTGATTTTTGCTCTAAATTTGAAAACAAAAATAACAAATCTGTTCATCAAATAAGAGCCTGTAGTAAAGTAACTGGAGAATGAATTTCAGATGACATGGTTTGTGAAAGGTGTGAAGAAAAGTATTGGGATGATGAATTGTCAAAGTGCAATAGATGTGGTAGATTGCAAACTAAGTTAGATTTTGATATTGTTAATGGTAAGAATGTTTGCTACTGTATTAGAAACAATGAAGATTTAGAAGAGAAGGAACTTCCTCTCTTACCTCATGAAGAAATAAGTCAGTCTACTTTTTATGAAAGACAAATAAACTCCCTACAAGAACAACTAAACAAGACTGAAGAAGCCTTAGAAATTGAAAGGGAAGAAGCAGTCAAATTTCAAGAAAAGTCTGAGGAGTGAAGTAAAAGACAAAAGCAAGAATTATTAGACTGAATTAAGCAGTTAGAAGAAGAGAATGATAATCACAAAGAGGAAATCAAAAGGTTAAAGACTCAGTTAGAACAGTTAACTTCTCAACAAGTTGCTCAAATTGAAGTTAAAGAAACTAAAAGATGATCTTGATTGAAAATAAAAGGTAATTAAAAAATTAACAAAGTTGAAAAAAAAGTAATTATTTGTTTTATCAAGTTATTCTGCCAGTTTTCTTTTTTTTCTTGATTCTTTACTAGAATTCTCTAATACTCTTTTGAAAACTCTTTCCTCTTGGTAAATTTCATAGGTAATCCTTTCTTTTCTTAGATAAGTTTCAAGTGTCTGAGCATCATTTATTTTGAAAATATAAGGAGCAGTTTTTTCACCTTGTTCCTTTTTTAAAATACTTCTGATAATACTATAATTCTTTGGTTCCATAGTGTATCTTATGTAAATGAGTTTCATACTAACTAGGGATAGTTCTATATATCACTTAAGATAACAAATGGGATATTATAAAATCGTTGATTGTGATCACATTACAAATGACTAAATTTTGATCCCTGAAATCCTTGGTATACCAATGTTCATTTTGTCTGGTTTTGTCATATATAACCAATATATGATATTAATTAGATTCGATTTCTTAGAATGTCACACATCCCAATGTGTTGTGTCACATATTATATAATAGTGACTGAAGTTACACGATCCAGATTTAAAAAATTTTCAATTTTTAATATTTTAAAATGTTGCGAACAATGTAAAAATTCTATAGTTTATCTATTATATATTTTTTTCAATCAAAATCATTAAATAATAACAACGACCTTTTGATTTTGATTTTTTTAAAAAAAGCAAGCCAAAGAATGCTAGATCAAAAAGAGCGTTAAAAAAGCGCGAACCTAAAGTTGAAGAAAATGTCAAGAAAGCAATGTTTTTAAAAACTATCCAAACAAGTCAAACAGTTAGAGATGCTTTAAAAGATCTTGTAAGTCTCGTTGTCAATTAATTATAATAATGAAATTTTATATCTTTTCAACTATATTAATCTCATGTTAATGTAAATTGAAGTACTGTCTTAAAAAACCAGATGGAATAAATTTTTCAAAGAAAAATCACATACTTCCATTTGAGGATGAGACATCATTAGAATTTTTTTCTCAGAAAAATGATTGTTCATTGTTTGTGGTTGGATCACATACCAAGAAACGACCCGACAATTTAGTATTTGTTAGGATGTATGATGGACAAGTTTTAGATATGGTTGAAGTTGGAATAGAGAATGCAATTCCAATGAGTAGTTTCAAGGTTCTTGACTAATTTAATATTTTCATATGACACATTTATATTTATATTATATACATAACATTTATATATATTATTTATTACAATAT